TCAGTAGGAAGGCCTAAGTTCATTCACTGCAATAGCAGCTGAGTAATTTGAGTATCCTAGATGTGATAGCAGCTAAATTACCTTTAAGTCGCTCTCCAAACAGTCAAACATTCAAGATGGCACAAATATATGGTGTTACATTGTTAACATCGCGCCTCAGTAATCATGTTAAATACAAAATTTTTTAGAGATTAAATCTCAAAAAATAGCAAATAAGCAATTATTGTGAATATCATTTTCCAGAAAAGATAATATTTTCGCCGAATGACGTTGGAGTGCCGACAATGCTTTCCTTGAACGGATGCTTATACATTGCGTACAACGATGAAATCGAAACACTGGTGATTCTGCATTTTTATGCAAATGCAAAAGCACGTAATATGGGGATGTGTCCAGATTTTTGCCACCCACATTCAAATTAACAACCATTTAAGAAACTCGAATTCTTCAAGCATTTAAGAAACTCGAATTTTATAAAACTTTTCCTAGCCACATCAATGTTAACGCATATCTGAGTCGCACGTACAAACGTCTAAAAGAATTCATACAAGGTTTTGGCGGAGAAGCGATTTCGGGAAACAGAGAAAGCTAAAATTTCCTTGGAATGTTGTGCGTCTTGTGAGCTAAAGGTTGTTCAAAAACTTCCAAAAAACGTATTTTTCTACAGTCACCCCTCATTCGTCCTTATGAGCTAAAAATCTCGCAAACTCAGATCCAGCGTCTGCGCGCCTAGGTTTCATACTCGGTCACGTGAAAGCTTAGGCGCTTAAATTAATAAATCAGGGAACTCGGAAGGGAGGAGGCCGAAATTTTAGAAGAATGTCTCTCGCTCGCATGTGTCTCCATAAAGATAAATACAGCCTCACTTGCGCCTAGGTCTCACACACAAGTGCGTGAAAATTTTAGCACGAAAATTATTAACTCGGAAAACAGCAGAGCCAGGAATATGAGATTTTATCAGAATCTCCCTTGTCGTGTATGACCCGCAAACTGAAATTCAGCTTCCCAACATGCCTATTTCGCACGTAGGGGCACTTGAAATTTCCGAGTCCCGAAATTAATAACTCAGGAACTACAAAGGCTAGGAGGCTGGTATTTCAGAATGGTGCTCCTTGTCCACATGTTCGTCCAGGTCTCGTGTTTGAACAAATGATAACTTTGGCGCCAAAATTAATAACTCCGGAATCATGAAAGCTAGGAAGCTGAAATTTCACTATAATATTATTACCGTCCTATAAATTCACTCTTTGCGCAGGCCTAGGTCTGTGATATGGATACATGAAATTTTTGTGCCCAAATTAACTGAGGAACCAGAAACAGTAAAGTTTTGTTGCCAAAATTAGCTTATAACATATCAAACAGCAATGGAGCAGACACTCTCAGTAACAAGGTCCCCTGAGCTATGTTGCGTAAGTATCAGCTGGACAGGGTTGTAAAAGCGACCGCCGGGCAGAAAAGCGTTCGCTGGACAAGGTTGTACAAAACGCATGATCGTACCAGCTACCCTAATGCGCGCTACTATTTATTTATTAATTTATTTTTTGCCTTGTCAACAGTCTGGTGACCACTGTTTATTAATGAAGAGCACTCGCAAAAATGAAATGGGATTTTCGGTAGTCGTTTGCCAGTGTTGATGCGAGAACCCAATAAAACATAAGTAACTGTTGGAAGCAGCCAGCCTGGCTGTGCTAATCGTACTGCTGCCTCTCATGAAATGCTTGAGCTGGGGTCAGCTTTGTTGAGTGACATTTTCCATCGAATATTTTCATCCACTGAAATGGAAATATGTGATGAAAGCAAATCTCAGACTCCAATGCCGCAGCAGAATGGTCCAACACAGAGCGTGCATGCATCGTTGTTGGATTATCTGAGCAGTATGGACATCGCCCAGCAGTTACTCATCTTCCACACCCATTTGTTCGAAGCAACCGATGATATCGAGCTTATCACTCAGGTTCTTCTTTAGCTCAAACAGAATTTCCAGCTTTTTATAATTTTCAAGTCTGTAAAATTTGTGTTTTAGCACAATTTCTAATTTTGATATTCTTCTGCATCGTTTTAATCGAACTAATTTTAATTTTATATTTGCTTAAATCTAGACTTGCTTTTTATGCATTTTATGCTGCAACAATTGAAAAAACACATATTATCAAAACCCGTCTGTGTACGTATTTGTCTCGAGCGCGTTTTATACAAAGTTTCCAGCTCAGGATCGAAGAAGCTAGGAAGCTGAAGTTTTAGGCGAATGTTTCTTACCCACATACGATTCAGCCAATTTAAATTTAGCCTTCACGTACATACGGCCACATAAGCGTTTTAGCGCGAAAATTAAGGACTCGGGAAACAGAAGTGTTAGAGGCTAAAATTTTACGAAGTTGTTTAATGTTTATGCGCATCCCAAAGGTTTCAAATTCAACTCTTACGTGCATCTAGGTCTCATACACGGACGCGTGAGATTTTGGCGAAAAAATTACTGACCAGAAAAAATACTATCAAGACTCCGTCTGTATGCATATATGGATATTATGTGCTAAAGTTGAAGGAGGATACTGCAAAACCTTGCACGACGCCGAAAGTTTTAGATTTAACATCTACATGCACCTACGTTTCACGAGCGTGTGCGAGCATTCCAGCGCAAAATTTCCAACTTTTGAATCAAACAAAGCAAAAAGCCGTAGTTTCAAGAGGATGTCTCCGGTCCATATGCAACTCTGGAAATTTTGGATTTAGCATCCATGCACGCCTCATATACGGGAAACGCAAGATTAGCACAACAGAACATTCCGACGATCTTGCTAAATATCAAGCAGCAAAGCAGTGAACACTTTTAAAAACATACTTTCTCTAGACAAAATTGTACAGAACGCACGATCGTCCAACTACTCTGGTGCGGTTATGCGTCTTATGCACATTTATTTTTTAACTGCTTTACCGAAAAACTCATAGAATCCTTTTCTACTACACTGAACTCTCCTTTTGTAGTTCAGTTAAGTGTGCCATTCTGCCGTAGTTTCTTACTGCAGTGTTGCTCTTTGATTCCCCGTGAAGTTGGACTCACTAGCACATTTCAGCAGCATATGATATGTTTACTAGTTTTTCCAACAAAGAGCTCCGGGTCACAACCATTTGTCAGAATTGGCACTGCAGGCTAATTCACACATTTTTTTTGCCTAATTTACGC